TCACACTTCTTTGAAGTCTCTCAGCCCCACTCACCTCACAGAGTGTTTGTTGTGGGGGAGGAGGGGAAAGGAGAATGTTAGCCGCTTTGAGACTCCTTAAAGGGAGTGAAAGGCGGGATATCAAATCCAAACTCTTCTTCTTCTTCTAATTACCATAACCATTGTGCACCTGTTCCAAATACATATCACAACATGCTGCTGTTCATACAGTAGGCTTGGTGTTCTCTATAGTGCGTAAAGAAAGAGAATTGTGGGTGAGGAATATGCCTTGACTCATTTCTCATGGACAGATAATTTCCTGGTGAAGCTTGGGTTATTGAAGACTGATGTTTCTGCAGGCTACGGGGCTGCACATCCCGTTTCACCGCCTAACGTAAAATAGGAAAATACTGTCCCCCACCCCCCACCCCAAGCTTCCCTTAGTTGAGTTGTGTGGCCGCACCCACAAAGTGGCAGCCACAATGGCAGCGACGACAAGAACTCACAGAGTGCACAAGATCTTGCAAGAAACCTCCACCACTGTTGGCTCTGATTTTCCGCTGGTGGGCTTCCACAGCCGGAGGCAGCTGCCTCGACTCACCTCTTATTTATTTATTTATGTACAGTAATTATTAAATTTCTATGCCACCCTTCACCTGAGGATCACAGGGCAGTTTACAATATAAAAACACACAAAAATATAACATGCACATCATGGCTCTGCTGCGGGCTTTTAGTATGAAGAATGCCCTCAGCTATGATATTGAGTGGTGGGAAAAGACACAACACAATTCTGAATTGTAGTAATCTTGTTTCCGAGATCAGAGACGTAGTACCTCAGCAGTGTTGGTGCTGACCTTGAAAGCCCTAAATGGCCTCAGCCCAGTATACCTGAAGGAGCGTCTCCACCCCCATCGTTCAGCCCGGACACTGAGGTCCAGCGCCGAGGGCCTTATGGCGGTTCCCTCACAGCAAGAAGCGAAGTTACAGGGAACCAGGCAGAGGGCCTTCTCGGTAGTGGCGCCCGCCCTGTGGAACGCCCTCCCATCAGATGTCAAGGAAATAAACAACTATCTGACTTTTAGAAAACAACTGAAGGCAGCCCTGTTTAGGGAAGTTTTTAATGACTGATGTTTTAATGTACTTTTAATCTTTTGTTGGAAGCTGCCCAGAGTGACTAGGGAAACCAGCCAGATGGGTCGGATATAAATAACGAATTATTATTATTATTATTATTATTATTATTCAACAACCTTCTCTGGATTCAGTGGTGAACATCTCAGTTCAAAACAGAGGCAAAAGGTTTTAAAGGGAAACTCAGTGAGAAAAGCCTAGATTAAGGGTTAAGAAAGTTGACTATATTAAAATATTCCAAATGGTGTCATTTATTCATTTCATATACTGGGATTTCTCGGGGGGGGGGGTTGGAACCAAGAAAAAATTCACTGACATCAAAAATAAGGAAGAACTTTCTAACAGTAGAAGCAGAAATTCACCACCAAAACGCTTCAGGTACAAGATATTTTGTCTCAGATCAGGAAGTGGTACGTGTGTGTACATGTTCCACTGGGTCACAACATTGATGAGACACGATTTGAGAAGAATGTTTCTCAACTTTCAATGTGGATTTATGGTAAACAAATAATACCACATTGCCTACCAACCCTCTTTTTTTAGCATGCCATTTCATATTGATTTTCTAAATTGGCTCTCCATTATCACACATTAAAAATGAGTCCAATCACCTTTGGAAAAGTGCTTGTGCTACAACACAGCAATGCAGAAACATAAGGCCAACAATTTTCCATCACTTGAAAGGTGATTAGAAACCTAAAAATAAGTTTTGGACCTTTGAGGTCAAATACAAATGACTGTAAAATATTCAATAAGCCTTTCTCCACCCTGCTGTCTGCCTTACTTTGCTACTTTAATCACATAGCACCATTCTCCCAAGCCATCAATAACTTTCTCAGTTCTTTACAGAATCATAGAAATGTAGAGCTGGAAGGGACCCCAAGGGTCATCTAGTCCAACCCCCAGCAATGCAGAAATCTCAGCTAAAACATTCCTGACAGATGGCCATCTAACCTCTGCTTAAAAACCTCCAAGGAAGGAGAATCCACCATGTTCCAAGGAAGTCTGTTCCACTGTTGAACAGTTATTACTGTCAGAAAATTCTTGCTAATGTTTAGTTGGAATCTCCTTGAAGCCATTGGTTCTGGTCCTACTCTCCAGAGCAGGAGAAAACAAGCTTGGTCCACCCTCCATGGCACAGCCCTTTAGAAATTAAAGGATGGCTATCCTATCTCCTCTCATACTCCTCTTCTCCAGGTTAAACATACTCAGCTCCCTCAAAGAAAGACCCTTGATCATCTTGGTTGCCCTCCTCTGCACACATTCTGCTTGTCAATATCATTCTAAAAATTTGGCTCCCAGAACTGGACACAGTATTCCAGGTGTGGTCTGACCAAGGCAAAATAGAGTGGTGTGATTCCTTCCCTTGATTTGGACACTATATTTCTGTTGTTGCAGCCTAAAATAGTGTAAGCTTTTTTTTTTTTACTGCTACATCACACTGCTGACTCATGTTAAGCTTGTGGTCTGCTAAGACCCCCAGATCCTTTTCACATGTACATGCACGCCAGGTGTTCCCCCATCTTATATTTGTTCATTTGGTTCTTCCTGCCTAAGTGTAGAACCTGTTCCTATTGTCCCTATTGAAATTCATTTTGTTATTTTGAACCCAGTTCTCCAATCTGCTAAGGTCATTTTGAATCCATATTCTGTCTTCTGCAGTATTGGCGTCTGCCTGCCCCCCTTGTTGTCACCTGAAAATTTGATTAGCATTCCTTCAATTCCTTCATTCATGTTGTTTATAAAGATGTTGAACATCAACGGGTCCAGGGCAGAAGCCCCTGGCACCCCACTTGTCACTTTTTTCCAGGGTGATGAGGAACTGTTATTGAGCGCTCTTTGGGTTTGATCAGGAAGGAATTTAGAATGGTATATTTATAGGTCTATCAAATCGTGTCCTCCCTAAAAGAGGGCACGTGTTGCAGTGAGACCTGGGACCGATCTCCTCTGTTGTGGGTGGGTAGGATTGGTCAGCCACAACACCCGATTGGCATGTCCCTCGATGTTGGGTTCAATCTGGCCAGCGGGCACAGTCCAAATGGATCGAGGGACCTATATACACCCATGCACATGACCCAGAGCTTCCTCTTTCGGTGCATGGATTCGGAACAAGCTAGCAGCGTGTCCTCTGTGCAGCCAAGAGAGAGTGAACTACCTATTTATGAGTTTCATCGGTTGGATTGTTCTGTACAGCCGATTGCTTTTGTATTGTTTGAGAATTCCTTTTTTTAAAAAAATGATATTTATTGAGAATTTTAAAATTACAGAAAAACAAAGAGAAAAAGAAGGAAAGAACAAGGAAAGAACAAATAGCAATTAAACAATACAAATTGATAAAAGTCAAAATCAAAAAACAAAAACAAAACACAGAACACATCAAAGTCAAAAAGCAAAAATAAGCCAAAAAAATAATAATTTAAAAACAGATCCAGTATTCCCAAATCCTTAACTGTCATTACCTTATTTCATCGACCTCCTCACACCTCCCTTTTTTGTATTCTAGTTGTTGATTATCTCAGCAAATCCTTTCCATTTTTCATAATATTCTGTCATTAAATTACCTTAATCTATTTTAACCTTATCTTACCACAAAGAACCCTAAAACTTAAAACTTAAATCTTATTTATACCAATTTCTCATAACCATAGCATATTCTTACATAATTCTTACATAATAATGTTAAAAAGAATTATGTTTGAGAATTCCCTCTCTGTTGGATCGGTGAGTTTCATTGCCCGTTTTGCATAAAGGCTGGTGGGGAATTTTCCCAGGGCTGCGAAACCCCGCCCCCCTTGGTCCAGTCACCATTTTAGCCCCAGCTAGTGAGGCATCTGATCAAAATCTGCTTTGAGCTTAAAAAATTATATTTGTAAATATATTTCTCTCATGCCAGGGAGAAGACCAGCTGAATACTCTGGCAGCTGTTCAAGGGCCCCACTGCTATAAATAGCAGTATTTCAGGGTTGTAAAAAGTATTTCAGGGTTGTAAAAGGAAATTAGAGCCAGAGAGCAAAAGGTCACACTGACCAGAATACAATCAAGCTGCAAAAACACAATTAAGAGCTGGTAAATAGTGAAATTTATTGTTTAACAGAAGACTCGAGCCATAAGGTTAAAGGTTAAATTGAAGTTGCTTTTAGGAACAGCAGCTGGTTAGAAAAAAAAGCTTCTCTCCAAACTGTTTTGAAGCTTCAGAGAATTTATAGAACTTAGAGAACTTAGCTTTCACTAAGTTCCTTCTAATTTGAAAAGGCCTTTCCTTCTAAAAATCTATCTATGTTATGTATGAAATATATTGGCTTAAATGTAATTATGCAAAGGATTTAGAAAGTAAGAAATGTTAGATTCTTATGTTAGATTCCTATTATGGTGGGTGAGAAGGTGAACTCAAGATCTCTTTAAGATAAAAAAATTAGAAACCATGCACCATCTGCTTTAGCCATCTGGTTTGCGGTGAATAGGGCAACAGGGGCCAAAGGTTATCTGGTAATTGAGGTGCCTGGTCGAGGTAAATGTAAGATATATGGCTACTTGTCTGCCATTTATGGATACAAGGAAATATAGCTTTTGTCTCCCATAAAAGGAAATAGGAAATGGGTGTATCTTTTATGATTGGTTCTAGCAAACAACCAATAGGAATTTCAACCAGGCTGATTGGACAGAGGCAGCCAAAGGAGGAGCAAGGGGGCTGGGCTGAGGAAATATAAGTGCTGGCCATCAGGGCTGGAGTAGGCAGAGCTTTGGTATCCATATACCACTGTGTCTCTCATTTATTTGTCTGACAAATAAATTATTATTTTAATTTCTCTATTGCTGCGTTGAATATTTCATTCCAGCTAAGCGTTAACCACAAGCAGGGTGCTACACTAGTTTGGCAGGAGCGCCATTTTGTTTTGGCGGGAGCGCCATTTTGATTGCCTGAGTGCTCTTTATTATTGTGTCTTTGTTTAGTACTCCCCCTGCGTAGTAAAGAAGGGATCGAGATGCCTATTAAGAGGAATCCTAGTCCTGATCTCCCTTCAAAAATGGTGATTAGAGGCCCGTCTCAGTCACTGCGCCTGCAGTTCCTCAGCTTACGCTGGATCGCTTGGGTGAAATCATGGCTGATATTGGTTCAGACCCTGCTGCCATGACAAGGTTTAATATGGAGCTTGAGTCATTGGCCCAGCAGTTTGGGAGGCAGCCTGATTCTCAGCCTGGCCCCTCCACATCTTCCACTGTTTTTGAGGCCTATGGTCCTTCAGATGTGAGCGAAGGGAGGCTTATGATCCTTCTGGAGCCTTGCTCTCCCAGTTTTAGCCTTCCAGGATCCCAGTGCCGGCTATCCCTAGGGGTCGTCCTAGGAGTATGGATGCCATGGTTCTGGCCCGGGCTGCCTTGTTCACAGTCGGCACCCCCGGGGTCTGGGAGTTCAGGGCCTCAAGTTACACAGCATGGGAGGGGGGGACTTCTTTCCAGCCAAGCTCCTCACATGTTTTTAGTTCTGTGCAGGTTTGGTCGGCCCCTTCAAAGGAGGCGCTCAGCATCCAGTCTTTGGAGGAGGGTCCCTTCATCCGGTGGCAAGCGGCAGAGGAGTCGTCGCTCCAAATGCAGGGCCAAGAGGTGCAGAGAGGCCTTCCATGCACACAAGTGTTATAGTTTGGATCATGAAGCCAAGGAGGTGTCCAAGCACACACCAACGAGAGGTTTAGAATCTTTTCCTGGAGTTATGAAGTGCATTTGTTATAAATACATGTTTACCCTTAACCTTATGCCTATAAGTTCTCACACCAAATGAATAAATAAAGTTTGCTTTATTATATGAAGTAGAAGTGACAGAATACAGTCAAACCTCAGTTCTCGAATGGCTCCGTTTTCGAACGTTTCGGCTCCCGAACACCGAAAACCCGGAAGTAAATGCTCCGGTTTTCAAAAGTTTCTTGGAACCTGAATGTCCACTGCAGCTTCCACTTGAGTGCAAGAAGTTCTTGCAACCAATCGGAAGCCGTGCCTTGGTTTTCGAACATTTCGGAAGTCAAACAGCCTTCCAGAATGGTTTACATTCGACAACTGAGGTTTCACTGTATATCAAAATGCTGCTTCAGACAGCAAAATTACAATTTAAGAGGCAGCATCTCACATAATACATACACATGTTGATCAAAAGAATAACAGAAATACCTATTTTCAAAAAAGCTTGTAGAAAAGTGAGTATGGCAACTTTGCCACAGAAACCTGCACTAAATAGCAAGGCAGAAATGGTTAGGGAAGAATATACCAGTCCTTCAGTTCATGTATGTTGGTCCTTGAGAGCACTGGGCAAGTTCTATTGGAGCTAGCAGAGCCAACTGACTACTCAAATATCTGAGGTTTTAATAATACTTCTAGTAGGGAAGGGGGCAGGGGCTTGAGATGAGCAATTCCTGTCTTTCTCTTTTTTAAAAAAATAATATTTATTAAGATTTGAAAGGTTACAAAAAGAAAAAATAGAAAACAGCATACTAAGCAGAAACAGAACATCACATCACAATAAAGAAAAAAAGAAAAAAGAAAAAAAATACAATGAATCTTCCCATAACTTATCTTTCATTTGCTTGTTTCCTTGACCTCCTCACACCTCCCTTTTTTGTATTCTAGTTCAATTAGCTATTTCAGCAAGTCCTTTCCATCTTTTCCAGTTTTTGTCCTCTATTTTATCTTAATATAATGTAACTTTACTTTCCCTCCTTTCACCATTTAACAATCTGTTCTTTCTTAATCCTTTACAGCATCTCTGCTAAAACCACATTACTTCATTCCAACATCCTTCTAACATTCCTTAATCTTACAATGTTTCTGTAAGTAAACTTTAAATTTCTTCCAATCTTCATCCACCAACTCTTCTCCCTGGTCTCGGATTCTGCCAGTCATTTCCGCCAGTTCCATGTAGTCCATCACCTTCATCTGCCATTCTTCCCGGGTGGGTAGATCTTGTGTCTTCCAATACTTCACGATGAGTATTCTTGCTGCTGTTGTGGCATACATAAAGAAAGTTCTATCCTTTTTTGGCACCAATTGGCCGACTATGCCCAGGAGAAAGGCCTCTGGTTTCTTCAGGAAGGTATATTTAAATACCTTTTTCATTTCATTATAAATCATCTCCCAGAATGTCTTAATCCTTGGGCATGTCCACCAAAGGCGAAAAAATGTACCTTCAGTCTCTTTACATTTCCAACATTTATTATCGGGCAAGTGATATATTTTTGCAAGCTTGACTGGTGTCATGTACCACCTGTAGATCATTTTCATTATATTCTCTCTTAGGGCATTACATGCCGTAAACTTCATACCTGTTCCCAGTCAGCCATCATTATGTTGTGTCCAACATCTTGTGCCCATTTAATCATAGGAGATTTCACCGTTTCATCCTGAGTATTCCATTTCAACAGCAAGTTATACATTCTTGACAAGTTCTTAATTTTGGGATCTAACAGTTCTGTTTCCAATTTTGATTTTTCCACCTGGAAGCCAATTTTTTTATCCAAATTTTACGCCTCCATTATTTGATAATAATGGAGCCAGTCTCGCACTCTATTTTTTAGTTCTTCATAACTCTGCAGTTTTAATCTGTCTCCCTCTTGTTCCAAAATTTCCCAATATTTCGGCCAATTGGCCTCCATATTGAGCTTTTTCTGAGCCTTCGCTTCCATTGGTGACAGCCACCTTGGGGTTTTATTTTCAAGCAAGTCCTTATATCTTATCCAGACATTAAACAGTGCTTTTCTGACAATATGGTTTTTAAACGCTTTATGTGCTTTAACCTTATCATACCACAAATATGCATGCCACCCAAATACGTTGTTAAAACCTTCTAGGTCCAGCACATCAGTATTTTCAGTTCCTGTCTTTCTCCCAGAGTTCCTGCCCATTTTAAAGAAAGTCATCCTAGTGGGCTGTGACTGAATTTTCTGCCCTCTGTCTGACCATTCTCTGGATGCCCCTCATTCAGGAATTTGAATAGATTATACTTGGCAACTAAATTTGCTTGTATTGACCTTTACAAGGGCCTTTCGGGTATTTCTTGAATGCCTTCAGGACACATTTTGAGATGAGGATGGTATCAGGTTTGCACCAAGGTCAAACAAGGTTCATGATGGAGAATCTCGTGTCACATTTAAATTATGTCAACCTTTATGCAGTGCTTCCACTCCTTCCTCCTGGGCCGTGTCCAGAAAGTGGTGTTGGGGGGTGAGTGTTCAGACCCCTGGGCTCTCACTTGTGGGGTGCCTCAGTGCAGTGATCACCAGGGGTTTGGACTGGGTGTTCATCAGTATGTGGATGATACCCAGCTCTTCCTCTCTTTCAAATCAGAACCAGTGAAGGTGGTGAAGGTCTTGTGTGAGTGTCTGGAGGCGGTTGGAGGATGCATGGAGGCTAAGAGATTGAGGTTGAATCCTGCTTCAGTGGTCTTCCTTTTTCATAGAATTGTAGAGTTAGAAGGGATCGTGAGGGCCACTGAGCCCAATCCCCTGCAAGGCAGCACATCAGGTAAATTTCAGGGCCCCTGGGGTGGGGCGGTGTAATAAGCAAAGGCAGGCACAACTTTCAAGCCAAGTGGGCTCTGCCTGACAGGGGTGCTCACTTTTCCAAGTGACCCTATTCAATTTATTTCAACATCCCTAAAAGCTATATTGCTGCATTTGCAATTACGCCCCTCAATTAAGCTTTCATAATGTGGGCACGAAAGTGGCAGGTTTAGGACTGACCTAGATATCACTTTGGGCTGCTTCTTGCACTGAAGGAGTCCAGTGCAAAGGAGTCCTCCATTTGTGCAAAACAAGACCTAGTGGACATCAACCTCTGTGATGGCCAATCCTCTCCAGTATTACCCAAATCAGAGAAGTGTGCAAAAGGATGACAAATATTTCATAAAAATTCCTTGGGTATTCAGCATCTGTGTCAAAAGCTGAAGATTTAATCTCAGCAAATGAGCGAACAACTTAAACTATCATGGAGAATATAAGGATGCAACAGCCCACCTTCTGTCATCCAGAATGCTGCTAAAAGGAGTCGCCATCCAAGTGCAAGGAAATACTGCCACCAACTGGTCAGATGGATATCAGTAACCAACTTTTCATCTTTACCTGGAACAACCAGATGATATACAAACACAGATGTTGCAACTTAAAAACTGTACTGAAATCACGAGGGCCCATGTACCCAGACGGCCAGCACAAACAAACCTTGCATTGGGAAGTATTTGTTTAAATGTCCAAGTCACTTTCAAATGACCACTTTGCAACATGTGCTTTTGAATTAGAAAACAAGTGACCATCCATCAATTCATCCATCCTTCCAAAGACAATGGAAATTGGTTGCAGCATTTTTCACTGAAGACATTGCAGGTAAGTAAACTTGTACTTAAACTCAGCACTGAACTGTGCTATATGGCTGTATGGAATCATAGATAGTCTACTATCTTTGATACCATAAACCATGACATCCTTCTGGACCATCTAGAGGAGCTGGGAGCTGGGGGCAGTGTTATACAGTGGTTCCGCTCCTTCCTCCTGGGCTGTGTCCAGAAAGTGGTGTTGGGGAGTGAGAGTTCAGACCCCTGGGCTCTCACTTGTGGGGTGCCTCAGTGCTCCGTCCTCTCCCCCATGCTTTTTGAAATCTATATGAAGCCGCTGGGAGAGATCATCAGAGGGTTTGGGCTGGATATTCATCAGTATGTGGATGATACCCAGCTCTACCTCTCTTTCAAATCAGAACCAGTGAAGGCAGTGAATGTCCTGCCTGGAGGCAGTTGGAGGATGGAAGGCAGCTAACAGATTGAGGTTGAATCCTGACAAGACAGAAGTCTGCTTTTGGGGGGCAGGGGGCAGGTGGGTATGGGGGACTCGCTGGTCCTGAATGGGGTGACTGTACCCCTGTACCCCAGGTGCAAGGCCTGGGAATCATTTTGGACTCACAGCTGTCCATGCAGATGCAGGTCAATTTTATGTTCAGGGCAGCTGTCTACCAGCTCCATCTGGTACGTAGGCTGAGACCCTACCTGCCCGCAAACTGTCTGGCCAAAGTGGAGCATGCTCTGGTTAATTCCCACTTGGACTACTGCAATGCGCTGTATGTGGGGCTACCTTTGAAGGTGACCCAGAAACTACAACTAATCCAGAATGCAGCTGCCAGACTGGTGACTGGGAGCGGCCACCAAGACCAAATAACACTGGTCTTGAAAGACCTACATTGGCTCCCAGTACGTTTCCAAGCACAATTCAAAGTGTTGGTGCTGACCTTTAAAGTCCTAAACAGCCTCGGCCCAGTATACCTGAAGGAGCGTCTCCACCCCCCATCGTTCTGCCCAGACACCGAGGTCCAGCGCCGAGGGAATGCCCTCCCATCAGGTGTAAAGGAAATAAACAACTATCTGACTTTTAGAAGACATCTGAAGGCAGCCCTGTTTAGGGAAGTTTTTAATTTTGATGTTTTATCGCTTTTAATATTATTATTAATATTCTGTTGGAAGCTGCCCAGGGTGGCTGGGGAGGCCCAGCCAGATGGGCGGGGTAGAAATAAATTATTATTATTATTATTATTATTATTATTATTATTATTACTACTACTACTACTAGAGGTAGTATTTAGTAACCTAGCACATGGTCAAGGAAGTGAGGAGCTGGTGAAATGGTTCAAGTGGAGCATCCTGCTGAACCCTGGCATATTACTTCTCTGATGGGTGTTTACAATCAGCAAGAGTTCTTAAACATTCAGACATGGGGGAAAGCAAAATGGCTTATCTTTTTCAGGTGTTTAAACAGGAGTCATATCACTGGGCAACAATTTTTTACTTTTCGAATGTTGTCTAGATTTAGGGTATTTTTGCACTGCTGAATCAGGAAATGGCATCCGTTTCTCTCCATCAGGTCAGGTTTTTGTGCTACGTTGATTTGAAAAAAATCAGATCTTGTGAAAAAATCGATTACATTTTTGTGGCATTATCAGCTAATTTTTGTCAACACATATCATCCTAAATATGTTTTTAAGAGAAAAAAATGTTTTTCCAACAACATATATTGATTACCTGATAGAAACATTGATTACTGTAAACTGAATGGTGGGCATTGATAAAGGTAAGTACCGTATTTTTTGCCCTATAGGACGCACCGGCCCATAGGACGCACCTAATTTTGGGGGGGGGGGGAAATAAAGAAAAAAAATTTATTCCCCCCCCCCAGCCGCGGGGGAGCCCGAGCTTTTAAAAATGCACCTACCGTAGTTTTTAGAGGAGAAAAGGATATCTGCCCGAAGCACGGGGCGCTCTGCTTCAGTGCGCCCCGTGCTCCGGGTGGCAGGCTGCTATCCGCAGCCTAGGGAGCCCTGCGGGAACTCCCGCGGGCTCCCCAGGCTTGCTGATAGCTTCCTGAAGCCTGGAGAGCAAGAGGGGTCGGTGCGCACCGACCCCTCTCGCTCTCCAAGCTTCAGCGAAAGCCTGCATTCGCCCCATAGGACGCACACAGATTTCCCCTTCATTTTTGGAGGGGGAAAAGTGCGTCCTATAGGGCGAAAAATACGGTACATGTAAATTGCATGTTGCTTACCATTTTTCAAACTTCAGGGCTTGAACGTCCGTTTCTTGGAACTCCTGGAATGCTCAGTGGCAGGGAGGTCTCTCTTCAGAGTCCAACAGTAGTCAGCCATCATGACTGCGTCCCAGCGACCCTGATACCTGGTCTCCATCTCTTTCATGTCCTGATGGAATCTCTCCCCCTGCTTGTCACTCATTGAACCCAGGTTCTCAGGAAACCGGTCCATATGTGAAAATAGGTAGTGCATCTTGACGCTCATGTTGCAGCCCAGGTTTCTGAAAGCAGTCAGCATGTTGTTGACAAGTTCTGCGTAGTTTCTGGCCTTATTGTTGCCAAGTAAGTTCTTCACTACCAGAACAAATGCCTTCCATGCTTCCAGTTCCACTTCGTTCATTGAGTTTCCGAACTCTGGATCTCTGATGAGCTGACGGATCTGAGGACCGTCAAAGATGCCAGCTTTCAACTTCTCCATGGTCAATCCTGGAAAGCCTGGCACAAGTAAGTGAAGCAGTCACCATCCTTGTCCAGAGCCTTGGTGAACTGCTTGATTAAGCCGAGCTTGATGTGCAGCGGTGGGAAGAGTATTCTGTCTCTGTCCACCAGAGGGTCGTTGATGACGTTCCTTTCTTTGCAAGGCACCAATTCCTCCCGCACAGGCCAGTCCTTCTTCGTGTAATGCTGAACACGGTCTCTACTATCCCACATGCACAGAAAACATGGGTACTTGGTGAAGCCAGACTGTTGTCCCAACAAAAAGTTCACCATCTTCAGGTCAACACAAATAAACCACTTATGCTGATCATAACCAATTTTCTCCAGCACATACTTCACCGCTTGATGGTTCTCCTTCAGTGTACTCGAGTGAGCCAGGGGTATAGAGGCAAACTGGTTGCCGTTGTGTAGCAGAACACATTTCAGTGATCGCTTGCTGCTGTCAATGAACAGTCACCAATCTCTGGGTTCGTACTGTGGCACTCCAAGCTTGAGCAGAAGCTGCGCAATATCTGCACAGTACACCAAGTCCTTCTCTTCCGAGAAAAAACGGAGGTACTCTTGATGTCTGTTGTGGAAGAAGCTGATGCGAGCACTGTCAGAGAGGAGGTTTTTTCCTTCAATCTGGATGCCAACAGTTCGGCAGAGTCCTTTGACAAGCTGAGGTCGTGAACTAGATCATTCAACTCCTTTTGGGAAAATGGATGTGGAGCATCATCTTCAAGAACCACTTCTTCTTCTTCATGTCCTTCAACACTGGAGGCATCTTCGTCACTAATGTCAGGAAGATAGGCACTGGAATTTCATCACAATGAGCTACAGGACGACGAGCTGATTGAAGATCAGGATACTTGAGGCTGCTCCGGTTCTTTCTGTTGATCCCAGTCACATCAACAGCGCAGATGTAGCAGTCAGTGACATGGTTTGTCGGCTCCCTCCAAACCATGGGAATTCCAAACAAAAATAGGTACAAATTAGTCATAAGTTGGCGCATGCGCGGGTGGAGTTTCCTATACACTTCGTGGGGCGGCTGCCCCATTAACTTAGTTTTGATCCGACCAACTTTATGCTTTGCCGCACCAATTTATGGAAGATTTTGAGGTTTTATGACTTCAAACTGATCCCTTTTCGACATAATCACCCAGAACTATCGGACCTGAATACTTCTTGTCATTAAAATAATCATTTCCAATCAAAACAATTATTCGACATGGCATTTTACCCCCACCAACTTCTTCTAAAATGCTCCACACAAGCGTACATGTGAACAAAAACGTAAAAAAATGACATGTGGCCATAGCTCAAAAACTTGACCTGATTGAGCAAAATCAATGTGATTTTTAGATTCAGCGCATCAGATTCGTCCTAAATCAACTGGAAAAACGCAGACAACAAATTTGTTGTTGACCAGTGTATTTTTAAAACTTAACTTCCGATTCCATTTGTATCTACAGTGCATACCCTCCAAAATTTATCTGATTAAAATACGGACGTCCCATTCCATAATGATATTTTTACTATTTATACCCCACACATCTTACTGGGTTGCCCCAGCCACTCTGGGCAGCTTCCAACATATATAAAGACATAATAAAACATTAAACATTTAAAAAGCTTTCCCTATACAGAATTGCCTTCAGACAGTTTGGGAGCTGAATAAGTCCATACCCTCCAACATTTCTCTAATGAAAATAGGGACGTCCGAAGGAAAAGTGGGACATTCCGGGATCAAATTAGAAACCAGGACAGTTTCTCAAAATCAGGGATGTCCCTGGAAGATAGGGGCACTTGGAGGGTCTGTACAATACCATCATTTTATCAAAAGGAAGAACATGATAAAGGAGACTACCTACTCGGAGGTCTGGGATCCTTTCAGCTTTTAGTGAAATATACTAGCTAAAGAATATACTTTGAAACTAATTTAAAGAATATTTCATGCATCCATGTTATCCTTATAGAAATAATGCTGGCACACAACTTACATATCTATATGCTTGTGGAGGAACTTTTGGGTCCCAAATGGAGGAAGAAGTACAATGTTTTAGTGCCAGATAATCTGTTGCAGCATGCATAAATGAAATGAAGGTGATTAACCAGTGAAGCTTCAGTATATTCTTCTCTCGTGGATCAAATCCAACCACAGTGGCCAGTTCAAGAATTTCCATTCCCAAGTTGACGCTTCAGGGTTTTGCCAACTTAGGAAAGGTTTTTCTCCCATGCTTGCCCATACCAGACAAAATTGGCATTGCTAGACTATGAAAAGATCCTAGGTATCCCACAAGGAAGCAAAGGCTGCAGAGGCAACAGACTAGTTCAGTGGTACAGCACGCTTTGCATGCAGAAGGTTTCAGGTTCAATCCCCAGCAGCATCTCCAGGTAGAGCCAGGAATGCCCCCGTCTGAAACCCAGAAGAGATCCTGCTACTCAGTGAGCACAATACTGAGTTTGATGAACCAATGATCTGACTCTGTGGAAGGCAAACTCCTGTGATGTTCCTAGGAGGGTGTGGGGCATTTCCATTATGAAGTTCAGTCAGCCAGGAAAATGCATTTAAACTGTAATCCTAGACTTGTTTACCTGGGAGTTGGCATTTGAGTACAATTGCATAGAATTACATTGTTAATGTTCCTGAGGCCTGGTTGACAGGATTAGACTGGCCAAGTACAAATGCATCTATTTATACTGCTGAGCCACGTGAGTTTCAAAAATGGTGTAGTGAGTCTTAGTTTTATTGTTACCTTTACAGTTAACAGGTTGCTAGCTTAACCTCACAGAACTGGGAGCAAGCCCCACTTAGTTCAATAAAGCTTACATCTGAGTAGACATGGTTAAAGCAGCAATCTCATTTATTTTGCTATTCTCTTACTGTGCTTTTCCATCTTATTGCCTGATAGGCGATTACTGTACTTTTGTTATTGCACATGGAATGGAATGAATACAATGTGCTGTTGTTACAAAAACAATCAGTCTATTGTGCTGTACATTCTCATTACCAGCCTGGTCTTGCAAAATATTTAAATAAAAACAATGTTGAAAAACCTGAACTGCAGAAAATGAAAAATTCAGGCAAACTCAGAAAACAACTTGGGAATTATAATCTTCTCATGTGGAACTGAGGTGATGCAGAACAGACATTAGGAAGCAACAGACCACCATTCTTTTGAGTGTAGGTGTGTTGGGGGGTGATATTCTACACAGCAAAAAGCTTACCTTTTACCTTTTACATTTACATTTACAGAAAATGACTGTGAAAAGATTTAACATTTCAATACCAAAAAAATCCTTAAAATATTATTGCTTTCTCATATGATTAAAAACTCCAAACCCAGAATATTTTTTACTGTGTTTCAGTAAATTCACACTGGTAGCTTGAGCTCTGGTAGGCGGAAAGAAAGAAGGAAGCATTTCAGAGATGTTTACATTCTTACAGCACAATCCTGAGGTTTACTAAAAATAAATCCCACTATGCTCAGGGGGGCTTACTTCAATGTAAGTGTACATAGGATTTTATCCAAGTTTGTTCAGCCTCATTCATTTAAATGTCTTCCAGGCACCTGATCTGAATTGTAATTATCTCTCCAGAGTCAGATGACAGAAATGAGAGCTAGAGATGGATGTCATCCACATATAAATTACATCCCTACCCAAAATTCTGGATGCCATCACATTGATCCACTATTAAACATTGACAGGGTAATACACATACCCTCCAAGTGCTACAATTTGGCTGGGACAATCACAGAAAATCATGAGCTGTCACGGATTTGTACCTTTGTCCCCAATGTCCCGAATTGCATTTCACTCTACACTTTACTCTCTCTGTGACCACTTTTTTATCTCTATGGACTCCACAGGCTTAGGAGGGAACGCCATCCTACTCAGCAATGAGGCTTACTTCCAAGTAAGTGTGCAGGGCTTCTGTAGGGGGGGGCAAGAGGGAAGCAGCGTTGTTGTTATTATGCATGTGGGGGGGGGGGAACCTGGCAAGAAATGTCCCAATTTCTTCTTGGAAAATGTTCGAGAATATGAATACATTCAGTGGGACCTACCTGAAAGTTACAAAATCATTTGCAAGGTTTGTGGAATGCTTCTTCAGGAAAAAATAAATGGTGAGGCATTTGGAGGCATGCTAAGAGAAAGATGCCCCAGCATGGGCTGTGGCATAATTTCAGAAATATCAGAAAGGTAATTTTAGACTTTAAATGCAACCTTTTCTTTCCAACCTATGGGAGGGGGTTGCAGTGTGTAGGTGGGAGCAGACCCATGTTGCAAGTTTGTACTGGGCCCTGAAAACAGATGCCTAGGCCCTGAGAGGCGCAGTGGCCTCTTCCATAGCGTTGGTGCAGAATGCAGCTGCCATTTGGGATCAGTCCTTAACTGCACCTGTAGTAATAATAAACAACTATCTCAATTAAAGATAAGCTAAATTGGCTACATTACCACCAGATTAACGAATTGTATAAACTGGATAAGAAAAATGGTTTTGCCTTGGAAAAATCTAAGTTGGAGATGGAGTTGTTAGATACTGAAGGTAAAAACTTATCTAAAATGTACAAGCTTTTGCTGGACTGGCATACGAAAGATGAACAAGTTAAATCGGTGATGATAGATTGGGCAAGAGATTTAGGACATAACATAATGTTTGAGGACTGGGAAAGATTGTGGAAGAAAGGGGTGAAGTTCACCGCATGTACTTTGTTAAAGGAAAATATTATGAAAATGATGTATAGATGGTATTTGACCCCTGTAAAATTAGCAAAGATGTATCATAATTGTGATAATACATGTTGGAAATGTAAAGAAAAGGAAGGAACATTTTTTCATATGTGGTGGACCTGCTCCAAGGTGAAAAGCTTCTGGGAAAAGATTTATAATGAATTGAAAAAAATGTTGAAATATACATTTATAAAGAAACCAGAGGCCTTTCTACTTGGAATAACAGGTTCGGAATTGCCCAAGAAAAATGTTAATCTATTTTTGTATGCCACAACTGCGGCTCGTATTTTGTTAGCTAAAAAGTGGAAAACCCAAGAACTACCAACAGTAGAAGAATGGCAGATGAAGATGATGGATTGTATGGAGCTAGCTGATCTAACCGGAAGAGTCCGCGACCAGAAGGAGGAGGAACACCACGAAGAATGGAAGAAATTTAATGATTATTTAGTTAAATTTGTTAAGCTAAAATAACTGGAAATAGCGTCCAGATACTTAAAGGGCTTAGGATTGTATCTATGTTAATTGATAAAATAATATGTTTAATACAAGAAGGAGAAGATTTAAAGATGTTAATGTTTAATTTAAAGGGTATTAAAATTGGGATTTGGAAAACCGTTATAAGGATATGCAATGAAATTCAACTAAGGGGAAACGAGGAAGTCATTTTACAAAGTAAATAACTGTTATTTTCAATAAGGTTATGATTTATGTTTTGTTTGTTTTATGTTTCTGTTTGTCATTGATATTGTAAAAACTAATAAAATTTTTGCCAAAAAAAATAATAATAAACAACTATCTGACTTTTAGAAGACATCTGAAGGCAGCCCTGTTTAGGGAAGTATTTAATGTCTGATGTTTTATTGTATTTTTAATATTTTGTTGGAAGCCGCCCAGAGTGACTGGGGAAACCCAGCCAGATGGGCGGGGTATACCGTATTTTTCGTTCTATAGGGCGCACCGGCCCATAGGACGCACCTCGTTTTTTGGGGGGGGGAATGAATAAAAAAAAATATTTCCCCCCCTCCCGCCGCGGCTGCTGCCCCAAGACTCGCGTGCTTCGGGCTGCAGGCTACCGCCCCAAGCCTCGCGCGCTCGGCGGGACCTCCTGCCGGGCGCGCAAGGCTTGCAGACACTCGCCCGAAGCACGGGAGCCCTCCGGAGGGCTCCCGTGCTTCGGGCGACAGGCTGCCGCCCCAAGCCTCGCGCGCTCGGCGGGACCTCCTGCCGGGCGCGCAAGGCTTGCAGACCTCCCGAAGCAGGGAGCCCTCCGGAGGGCTCCGCGTGCTTCGGGCAGCAGGCTGCCGCCCCAAGCCTCGCGCGCTCGGCGGGAACTCCTGCCGGGCTTGCAAGGCTTGCGGATAGCTTCCTGAAGCCTGGAGAGCGAGAGGGGTCGGTGCGCACCAATGCCTCTCGCTCTCCAGGCTTCAGCGAAAGCCTGCATTCGCTCCATAGGACGCACACACATTTCCCCTTCATTTTTGGAGGGGAAAAAGTGCGTCCTATGGAGCGAAAAATACGGTAAATAATAAATTAGTAATACAGTGGTACCTCGGGTTATGAACGTAATTCGTTCCGGAGGTCTATTCTTAACCTGAAACTGTTCTTAACCTGAAGCACCACTTTAGCTAATGAGGCCTCCTGCTGCCGCCACGCCACCGGAGCACGATTTCTGTTCTCATCCTGAAGCAAAGTTCTTAACACGAGGTACTATTTCTGGGTTAACAGAGTTTGTAACCTGAAGCATCTGTAACCTGAAATGTCTGTAACCCGAGGTACTGTAGTAGCAGTAGTAGTATTTCTGCCCAAAATTGAGCTGAAAGTCTTAGATGAAGGGTGGATGCAAATATAAATAAACAAACAAATACCAATGAATTAATAAACAAGCAACCCTGCGGGATAGGTCAGTTTTATCATCTCTAGTACCTTTCTTGGGTTCAAAAATGAGATGCTGTTACTCATATCTTGATAAAAGTACTGTTCGTGTCAGCACAAAATGGGCTGATGGAAAAGCTGTGCCTGTACTCTGTTCTGGTGAGTACTGTCACACACAAAAGCTCTGATCATCTCCACAGTGCAGACAGGGGGATGAGAGAGCATCCTAGTGTCCCTAGCCTCTCACTCTGACTGTGCTGCTCCAGTTCCAATTACACAGTAGGAAGATTTTCTGCTCTGATGTGCTAGTTGAGGACTTGGAGCCTGAGGCCAGCTTGCCTCTTTGCTTGACATATTTTCCAACCTCCCCAGGCCCACTTTTTTTTTTAAATACCCATGCAGCCATGCCTGTTATAAGGGTTACTGAAGACAACTTAATTAATATAAGTTATATAAACCAATGTATCTTTGGTTTTAAATAATGCTTTTGTACTTTTCACATATTGCCACTAAAGTCCTTGACTAATTAAGATGGTTTGAGTGTACTATTTACATGATTGCTAAGCAAGGGGTTTGTCTCTATAGCAACAACTGTATGAAAAAGCCTCCTTCCCTAGTAAAATTAATCCTCTGGGATTCAGATGCTGTACTGGGAATATAACAAAGACATTATTTTATGTTTAGATTGGCTTGACACGGTCCAGAATCTTATTTATATAAAGTGAAATTTAAAATTACTACAATGAACTGGTGGATGGTTTCATATCTTCCTTGTTTAATAAAGCCTACAATAATGTATTAGTTAACATTATTTTACATCTCATGTGGGACAATGGACTTGAAGCAGTCAGCTTCTGTTAGTAATATCACCTTTTCAATTCACCAGCCTTTTAAATCCCTCCCATTACATGTGAAACATGATACAAATCTAATTATCCATTTACAATAGCATCTTTGGGAACTGCAGAAGAGATTGCCAGTTAAAGATGAAATAGTACACCATAAAAGGCATTTTAAGAAGGAAGTGTGCTGTGATTTTATTGGTGTAATACTTTTCGGCATTACCCACAGAACTTCTAATTTCATTTTCATTTGGCTTAGAGAACCCTAGCAACTTATGGGACCTTTGCTAATATCAGTTCTGTTACAAATATGCAAGCTCAGCAGGCTAGATGCAAAAAGGCACTCCTGTAGCAGCCAGCAAATCCTCAGGTTCTCAGACAGCAGCTGTTGCAGCCTTGCCCTACCTCCAAGGTTGCAATTTGGTTTTTGCCAACACAGCCTCAGTGTAAACATGAAGGAGTGTTTCCACCTCCACACTGAGGTCCTCCTCCGAGGGTCTTCTGCTGGTTCTCTCACTGCGAGAAGCGAAGTTACAGGGAACCAGGCAGAGGGCCTTCTTGGTAGTGGCACCCTCCTTGTGGAACACCGTTGCCAAGGAGATAAAGAACTACATAACTTTTAGAAGACACCTGAAGGCAGCCCTGTATCAGGAGGTTTTAAATGTTCTACTATGTTTTATATGTGCTGTAAGCTGCCCACCTAGCAGTTCAAAAGCACGTCAAGTGCAAGTAGATAAATAAGTACTGCTCTGGCGGGAAGGTAAACGGCGTTTCCGTGCGCTGCTCTGGTTCACCAGAAGCGGCTTAGTCATGCTGGCCACATGACCCGGAAGCTGTATGCCGGCTCCCTCAGCCAGTAAAGCGAGATGAGCGCCGCAACCCAGAGTCAGTCACGACTGGACCTAATGGTCAGGGGTCCCTTTACCTTTAAGCTGCCCAGAGTGGCTGGGGAAACCCAGCCAGTTGGGCAGGGTGTAAATAATGTTGTTGTTGTTGTTGTTGTTGTTGTTGTTGTTGTTACTATTACACCTGATAGTCACACAGCTCTACCAAGCCCTCATTTCCTCACAGCAGCTTCAACACACACACACACCCTGCAGGCCCTCGCAGTTTGCCACAGACTCCCCTCTCCCTCAACAGTTTACCCCCCTTCTACAACCTCTCTGTCAACTGCTGCTGCCAGTCCCAGAGTAAAGCAGGGTGGAGAGGAGGAAGCCTTTCTCCCTTTCACCTCACACCACCACTGCTGGCAGAAGGAAGTGTGCATTTTGAAACGACAAATCAAGAATGCAAAGGCTTGCCTGGGCTGGAGCACCTGCCCATGCACACTCACACACACAATTTTATTTGTATGCCACCTTTCCACAGATCAAATGATGCTCAAGGCAGCTTACAATATGAAAAATAATACATAACTACAACATAACTACAGTGG